CAGCTCAGGGACCCATGCCTGGTGGGCCATAGGGCCACCACTTTTGGAGGCACAGGGCAAAATGGAGGGGACGCAGCGGAGCAAACTGGAATCTTTGGAAGTGGAGCGATTATTGGGCTGGTGAAATCAATAGTGGAAGAAGAAATTGGAGGAGAGAAAGAGAGGAAGAGAGAGCCTAAAACTCTAAAGTCTGAAAAAGTATTTAATGGATGTTTTTCAAACTTCGTAGAGGGGTTGTATGGATAACAACCTGCAACTGATAAAATTCTGAGACAGATCGCCCCAAAATTTAAGCAGCATCACATAGTGGCATCAAAAAACAGGGCAGCCTCAGACACTTTACTTAAGGCCATGTTTTAGTCATCTATAAACTCATTCATAATGCATTCCTAAAGCATTATAAACATGGCTATACATGTTTATAAAAAGGCATAGCGCATTATAGCCATGTTTATTATGCATAATGAATCCTTTATGAATTTATGAATGCTTTACTCTCATCTATAATTCACTATACTTTTATAATGCAGTACAAAGCATCCTTAATGCTTATACCGACCATTATAATGCATTATTTCCACCACCAGACACTTTCTTTTTTAAAACACGCGTCTTTTGTAATAATGGCTAGCTTCACACATCCCACAACATGTCTGTGACTTTGCAATTCAAATAATTCATTAGCAGCAACTCAAAAGGGAAGGGTTTGGCTGCAGAACACTGGGCGTGCTCCACTAGGAGGAATCCACTGTGAGGCCAGAAATCACATGATCTCCACTCCTGGGCCAGACATGACGTTATGCAAACTTCGGGAATGGAAGCATAAAGTATAGAATGGAGATATTACAATTGTTAATAATTGTCATAGCATTATTATAAATTAGTATAATTTTATATATGTATAATGTGTATATTAAATATTACAAAAATTATATACAGAATTATAGCATTATAAGTACTGTTATTACTAATAATAAATCATAATAATGTATTATAATAATATAGGATAGCACATTATTATTATCTCCAGTTTATATTAGATTATATTGTATTTTTCGGTATACCAGAGAATATACCACCACTAGGGGGCGTGGAATCACGTGCCCTCCATAATAGCGCTGGATATGACTTTAGTCCTACATTGGGAACTAACTTCAATAATCCAGCCTACTGAGTTCTCTTTAGAAGCATCATGTCCAGGAGTGGAGTTTCCGGCCCCACAGTGGAGATCCTCCTGGCAGAAGTCTGCAGCCAGATGCTCTTGACTCAAAATAGGTGACCTGAAAGCAAATTTAACCAGTGCTGAATAACAACACAAAATGAGAATCTAATCTGACACATGGGAGAAATTTGAAGGGCAATTTGTGTAGGGCTTTTAGGACCCAGGGGAATTATGCAGCAATATCCTGGAGCTTAGTTTTAAATTGCTGCAGCACAGGTGCATTTTTACTCAATCAGGGTAGTGGGCCGTGGATCTGTTGGTAAACGTGATTTAGACTGCCACAGGGACTCGATCGTTCAGCTGGAAAAAAATGTAGTGCGATACCCCCCTGGTTGTCAAAATTTACAAAGGAGACCTGCCTCCCCCCAGTGGGTGAATGGTTGAGAATCTCTGCCTTAGAAGATCTGGGTGACGTATTACCACACAATGCAGAAATACATGTCCAATGTCTAATTCCAAAGCTTTAAATCACACACAAAATGCTGAAATGTTAGAGAATCACTGAAGTCGATTAACTTGACTGTGAGATTAAAGTGGCTCTGTTGCCGTGTCTCTATGCCCTCTGATCTGACACTCACCATTTTTGAGTGGCGGCTCTGGGGTAAGGGGAGATCTGCGGCTTAGCCTACAACCCTATTGCTGAGCTGGAGTTCAAGATTTAAAAGTACAAAATTCTGTCCGTCTATTACGTTCAATATGCACTGGTTCTGTATCCATCGCGGCTTTGAATTTGGTGTTTAATGACAACAAAACAACATTATACATTACACATATAATGAACTAAAAAAAGATTCAGGGCTTTGCTAAAAACATTCAGGGCTAAGTGTTACTTGATGAATTCTTGTGCTACTATTGGTTAGAGGCTTGTTAGGCAAACATGCAGGACATTCTCTGTGGCTGGGGAAACGGGGGAGGCAGAACGTAAGGGCCTGTAATGTCCACTAACCTCCCCCAGCCACACATGCAGATTAGTGTACTGAGGGCAAACAACAGCCTTATACTAATCCAGCCATGACACAACATGAAGCCTGTTTACTGCTTATAACCCATGGTCACGCATTCATCTAGCCATTCACTGACCTCTGTGCTCATCGGATCAGTTTTCTGATTCTGATTATGAATTTTACTGGCTGGGCCACACATATAGTTTTTTTCCCCACACACTGTTAAAAAAGCAGATGAGCTGAGACTTGGGTTTGTGATACAGAGGCTCTGGGTTTAAGCCTCTATGAGGTTTAGTGCTTAAGCTGCATTGTCTGAGTTATGCACCATTAAATTACAGTGACCCTGAGTGGCAAAACAAAATAACACTCGGAGAACAAATTAACAGTGCAAAAAAGAAACACAGTATATTTTTAAAATACAGCAGATTGCTGCATTTCTACCAAGGGCATTTTATGTCCTCTTATGAATTTTATGACTGAGAGGAAAAACTTCCTCTCTTCAATCTAAACTTTGTCACAGTTATTTTCACGTTTTTGCCATTTAGTGATATTCAGGTTTTTTTTAGATGTACAAACTCTTCAGTAACATTGGAAATGTCAGATTTAATGAACATCGCCGAATGTCACATGTCTAAATATGGAAGTGAAATTGGGCTTTTTAGAAGATTTGCTGCTGCAGTCATGGACATCCTTGAGTTATTGTTGTATTGAAGAGGCAAAGAAGATGGAGGGTGCAAGGTAATTGCCAGCATCAGTCGCTTTGTGCTTCTAATTTGAGGGATGATCAATCATCATAACAGCTCAACAGGAAATTCCTGTTCTGTTGGTCACCCTGAGTCTGATGTGGTCTTCAGTGTGTTCTCATGGTCCCGCAAGAACCCAACCATGGACTGCGCAAACGAAAACTGAACATCATCTCTGTGTTCTACCTCTGGCCAGGAAATAAACCTCACATGTTTTTATTTAGTGGATGAGCAGGTGACACTGTTGCCTCATGCCACAGGGGTTGAGGTTCAAATCCCACATCTGCCAGTGCTTGTTCTCCCCATATGGGCTGGAGTTCATCCCACAGTATGTGTATGTGCCCTGTGATGGACTGGCATCCTATCCAGGATATATCCCAGCCTTGTGCCCTTTGTTGGCTCATAACTCCAACCGGCACCAGCAGTTAGATGGTTGGATATTTTACTCCAAGTTCAGTTTCGATACTTTTATTTTTCCTTTCCAAAAACAGGAAACGCACTCTGATCTTAGCACAAACGGCAAAACAAAAACATGTTGGCTTGTTGGCAAATAGATGATGCTTCCCAGCAGCTGTGTGAAGTCAAGAGGCTGTCAGATCAGAGAAATGAACTGCACAAGGGCGGCTAAGGAAACACGTGATCTTTAAGGACATAAAGTGGAGCTCCGGTTAGGGTTAAGGTTAAGGTTAGGGTTTATTCGCTGTGACACAGAGTTGAGGCCACGTGTTTCCTGTGGAGGTGACGTATTTCCGGTGGAGCTCCACTCTACAGGACCCTTCTAGACTGGGGAAACAAACTGAAACGCGGACTTAATACAGAGGACTAATGACAGCAACCAGAAACAGCTGATCACATGGGGATCCCTCACGAGGTTAACGAGGGAGCGTGGCACACAGAAGGAGCGGATGATCGGGGCAGGACAGGGGTAATGTTGGGATAAGATCTTTATCGTTTTGGAAGCCATTAAGAAAAAAATGCTCTTCTTGTTTTATACTGTTCATTTTGTGTTTAAATGCTTAAAAGAAACATATTCAGGTGTAATTTTGGGGGGCCGGGAACCAATTAATTGGTTTTCCATTATTTCTTATGGGGAAAATTCGATCAGAACTCGAACTTTTTAGGATTCGATCCGGAGTCCATAGTTGATGATAGTTGTTGATGCTGTATTGTACACTGCTATATTTACTGCATGTATTTTCTCCATTTTACAATACTGTCCAAATAGGACTGCAAGACTACCTCACTTGGGTGGTCAAAGGCACTTTTTTACTATTCAACTAATGGAGGACATTTGTGCCATGGTGATTGCAAATAATGCCATTTGACTACAGGAGATACAGAGAGCTGTGACTGAACAGTAATTTCAGTAATTTGAAACTTTGTGGTATAGAAATTGTTATACCACACAGAAAATATGTTGCTTTATGGATTTTCAGACAGTATTAACAATAGCCTTATCAAAATTTCAAGACAGGTAAAACAATTATACTACAAACATGTTCACACACTTTGACCATCTTGTTCATAGGCAATGGTGCAAGGATTTGTCATTCTGATGGCACTGACAGTTTCACTGACACAAATACTTGCTTTTGGGGCATAAACTAAGCATTTTGAGCAAGTTACTTGCTTTTACAGGTAATACACTGTGTTTTGCAGTTTGTACATATTGTTCTGAGAAATGCACATACTGTTGTGCAGCCATAAATCATGTTTTAGAAATGCAATTGAGAAAAACTGTAACAGAATTGCGTGTTTTCTTGTAGTTTTGTAGTTGTAGTTTTGTTTGTTATTTAGTAAATGGTTGCCTCTGTTATGTTGTGTGGATACGCCCAAGAGTGTTGTCGTGGCTAATTGTTTAAAATAAACATATTTTGGTAATGTGTCAGGGTCGGCCTCCCGCTGTGGTCCTTCCGTGCCTCTTCCCCGTTTGACCAGCAGGTGGTGCTGGTCATCCCGTCCATACGTCAGTCCTTGTTTCTCCCATGTCTCTTGTCTGGTCTTGTGGCTCAATGCATTAAGCATGTGCTGTCTGTTTGCCCCTCGGTCCTGAGTTCACTCTTGTGAGTTCGAATCCCGCCTCCTCTGTTTTTGTATTTTGCTCCCTAGTGTTTCATTTGAGTTTCTTTAGTTCTTGTGTCTGATTTTGTAGTTGGTTTTGGTTTTGTCCCTTGTGCCCCTGCTTGTGTCTTTACCTGTTTTATTCCCTAGTGTTGGTTTCTGTTTCCTTGATTAATTCTTAGTTTCCCTGATTGTTAGTGTCTTTGAGTTAATTGGTTTCACCTGTGTCTTGTTTCCCTAGTCCTTGTTAATCAGTCTCACCTGCCCTGTGTTAGTCATTACCCCTGTAGTATATTAGTTCCTGCCTTTGTTCTGTTCCCCGCTGGTTCATCGCGTCGTGTCTGGACTATTGTCTCTGAGGTCTACACTCGTCTATGGTTTGTCCAAGTCATCTATGCCCTTGTCTTGTCTAGTCTTGTCGCTGGTTTTCCCTTAATTGTAGTTTACCTTAGTGTCGTGCTAGTTAGTTTTCCTTGTGTGTTTTAGTCTAGTAAATTCCTCCCTGTTTTAGTTTTGACCCCTTGTGGTCTTTTTGGTTTTCTTGTGTTTTTGTTGTCTTTGTTTAATAAACCCCTCAATTGTTCCTGGAGCCGCAAGTGGGTCGTCCGCCCCTTATTTGTGCACCATGCCCCGTTCCCGTTCCCGTGCCCGAGATGCCCGCAACCATGACAGTAATGCTTTACATTAACTGCACCCTCAAAATGCCTTTATAATGCATTCGTAGAACATTCATTGCACCTTCATAATGCATTCATAGAACACTCATAAGCAGGATGTAAATATACCACAACATCTTAACAGTTTTAATATACATTAATAATGAACATTATATAATAACAAACTTTATAATCGTATAATGTTTGTCATTAATGTATATTGAAGTTGAGATGTTAGACTAAGGTATACTTACATGTTGCCTATGAATGTTCTATGATTGCATTATAGATGCATTATGAATGTGCACTGAATGTTTTATGAATGCATAATGAAAGCAATATGAGGGTGCAATTAATGTAAAGCATTACCCTTACATTACCTTCGCCTTTGTGTGCTTCCCCACCATTCCAGAGTTCTTCCTAAGCCTGTATAGCTTATTTAGCAAGGAGTGTACACTGGTATTTTTGGCACTGGCCAATTTTACCAGTTACACAGCTGTCGTACTTCCAAAGTGGAAATGTCTAAACCAGGGGTCTCCAACTCCAGTCCCGGAGAGCTACTATCCAGTAGGTTTTCTATCCTACTTGGCTTCTGATGAGCCGCACCTGGCCCTGGTATTTACATGACAACAGGTGCGGCTCATCAGAAGCCAGGTAGTATTGAAAACCGACTGGATAGTAGCTCTCCAGGACCGGAGTTGGAGACCCCTGGTCTAAACAGAAGAATGCATGGATGCGACTGTGAGCCTTTCCGGATGTGGGTCGCCACTGGTTTTATCATTACCTGGACACGATGAGGGGCAGTATGAGCATCTTCAGCATCCTCATAAGTAGCTCTCCTGGGAACTGAAAATATTTCACCTCCTGTGGGAGCAAAAGAAATGAACACCCTGATAAGCCAAACCAAACCGCAGAGAGAAGGTTTGCCATTGTAAATTATGGGAGCCACGCCTGAGCTGTACCCGTGCTGACATGTCCCTGCCTACTAGCAGAGCTGAAACCATGACCAAACCAAGGTTGTATCACCACCATCTGATTTGTTGAAATGCACGAAGATACCAGTGATCTGTGTCAATACGCATGGATTATCTGAAGGAAAAATCGGCATATCCTATGTATTATTCATTTTTTTGTAGTGTCACTCATCGCTGAACAGAATGGATTTGTAATGTAAATTCATGCACGCGAATGCTAATTCTGCTAGCTTATGATTCTAACAGAATATGGCGGGAATTGGCGAATAGTAAATCATGATGCACAGAGTAAACAAGCATCTCTTCAGTTTTATGTCATTATCGCTCTCCAAACCTGGCAACGAGCCGACCCTTCTACAGTGGAAAATTGAAAATTGGTACTGCACTTTAACTAATGTCACTTTGCAGTACGGCTCGGCTATGGCATGGTTCCTCTTTGCCAGAGAAAAATGCCAATAGATCGATGTTCCCATCACTTATCCTGGTCAGGAGTTTCCAGGCAGGAGTTTGGGGTGGGTAAAGACCTGAATGGGATCCCAGTCCATCAGAGGGCTTTGACACACAAACACATTTAGACACTGTGGCTGATTTAGAGACACCTACTAGCTTAAGGGTCTATTTAAGAAATCCCTAGAGAACAAACTCTACACATACAATTGCATGGGACCTCCAGGATTCCCAGAACTTCCTTTCTACTGCAAATTACATGTTATTCCAGATCAGTAACAAAAAGGATGATGATGATGATGATGATGATGAAACCCTTTATTGCTGTTGCAATACACCATGTCACTAGTCACAAGTACCAGTGAAAAACTGGCCATCAACTCGACCATACATATACAAACATCACATTATAGGGGGTAGACAGGTCAGGAAGACAGGGGATATACGAAGAACAGAGAAAACAGAATTACATGAGGAGAGAGGAGGAGAATTAAAAAAACAGCCCCCAGACTGTACTCCAGTAGGGAGTACAATGTACGAACAGAAAAAAACACCTCAGCAACATAAGCACATAGTCACTACACCTTACAACATAAAAAGTCGTAACTTGCAACAGGGGAGGGGAATGGGGAGGTGGAGGTAGCCCAGCATAGACAAACAGCCATCCGGTCCTGCAGCCAAGTTCACCTGCCCGTTCACGCTGGGGGTATGAAGCGGCGAAGGCGTGGGATGTGGGGAGGGTGCGGTGAGTGCGTATCTGTACGTATGTACGTATATGTGTGTGTGTATCCAGGTGTTCTTTCGATTGGGGGAGAGGAATGCAAGAGAGTCTCACTGCCTTGTTCTTCCGGGGAGCTGTTAATTCAGCAGCGGCCTTGTCCGAGGCCAAAAGCAGATAGGATAGGGTTGTTCGGGTTTTCTGGCAAGAAGCTGTAATTTCGCAGCTTCTCTAATGTCCACGCTGGTCTCCGCCATCCAAAATCCTTTGCAAAGCCATGAGCTTCTCCGTGAAGTTATCCAATTTGTGATCAATAGTCACAGTGATGTTATCCAATTTGCGATCTAGGTGTGTAATTAAGAGGTCAAATGGAACAAAATCCACTTAGACCTGCACGGATGCGAGAGACGGGCGTCCCCTGGTGTAGAGTGTGAGAGTCTCTTTGGTAAAATGTCAAGCTCAAAATAGTTCCTTCATGTATAATAATCTCAAAGCTGTTTACAAAAAGTGTGTGGGAGGACAAATGTTTCTCACAGTTTTTTCTCAAGCTCTTTGGTACTTTTCTCGGATCAGAAATTAAATTTTCCTAACTACTTGTACAACCTCCACAACATCGATTCACTTGTGCACATCATACATGCAAAGTCTCATTCTTTTGGTGAAATTGCAAATGTTCTGGCACAGTTATGCAAATTATTATGTACAATCACCTGCTGATTCCTACTTTTTCGATTGTTTATAACATGTTGGTCAAAATGTGTTATACTGGTACTGGTACTCTGTCTTACCCCCAAAACATCTAGGCATTACTGTAGTTCATTGTATAAGTCATTACATGCAAAATGGTTGAACTAGTTATCATAATAAGTCAAGCAAATTCTCTATCTATCTCTATTACAGTTTTTTAAATATATATAATAATGTGTCCTGAACTGATGAATTGCTCTCAGTTGAATCTTGACTTTCACTAATAGAGAGGAATGTTTCAAGTGTTAGATTGACCAGTGATCAACCAGTCAATCGGCAATAAGAAGGAGAGGAGTAAGGCTGCATGGTGGAAGGGTAGGGAGGCAAAACAGAGGAAGAGGTAGAAGAGGCCAAGAATAGAGGCACAGTCCTGATGAAATAAGAGCCACAATTGTAGACCACGTCCTCAGTCATGGCCTTACAATGGCCGAGGCTGGTCAAAGGATACAGCTGAATGAGAGAACAACCGTGTCCTAAATCATTAAAATGTTTTGCAGTGACAACAGGTGTGTAATCTGACAATGTGTACTGTACTGTAATATTGTATACGTAACAATGCTTCATATTACAGTATTCCACTTGCATTTTATAGTATACAGTAAATTTACTTTATACAGCTACATACTGAACATATGATGTAGCACACACACATATGTGTGCATATTTATAGTGTGCACATATGTATACATATGTTTGTGTTTGTGTGTTACAGTATATGTACAGTATGTGTAGCTAAGGGATAAACTAAGGATTTTTAGAAAGTTACAGGCTTTTGCAGGTAATCCATCATTTGGTGCTGTTTGTACGAATTGTTTTGAGAAATGCACTCACTGTTTTGCTGATCTTAAAGATGATTCGAGAAATGCACCAAAGCGACTGAGAAAAACTGTAATATACGGATTGATTGGGTAGATTCACACCCCAAAGGTGTGTGAAGATCATATGTTTGGCCTAGGTCATGTGGGTTTATTCTTGGTACTGCTGTTCCCACCCGTAATCAAAACATTACCTGCAGCATATGTGGATGTGGCCTGTGAGGGACTGGCATCCCATCCAGGGAGTTCCCTCCCTCGTTCCTTATGCTTCCTGGGATGGGCTCCAAGCTCCCCCTCATGAGCCTGTACTCGATTACCACTTCAGAAATAAATGGATGCTACTAATGGATTTTCCTATAAATCACTCTGAGGAAATTGTCATTGTATTACAGTTTTTCTTGATTGCTTTGGGACATGTCTTAAATGGCAATTAACATTTGCAAAACAAGAAGTGTAATATCCACATTATAATGCCACTTCTGCACTGCAGTACACCAATAGTTATGTTCTCCCCAAACGAGCTTGATGGGCCGAATGGCCTCCTCTCATTTGTAAATTTCTTATGTTCTTATTTATCATTGGTTCACAGAAACAAGATATCTAATTATTTTGACTCTCATGGTTAAAACGATGCTGACTATACTTTTCATTTTGGTGGCATTGACTAATTCATTGGTGTAATTATTTGCTTTTGATGCATGAGTTAATTGTTTTGTGTAAGTTGCAGGCTTTTACTGCTAAACCATACTGTGTTTTACAGAAATGGGAGTTTCACTTACACAAAAATGTTCTGAGAGCAGAAAGAAAAATTATTGGTTCAGGGAGATAACCAATCTGAATGAAAGGTGAGTCCAAGCAATTAGAGGAGGTGGGACAACCAATCAGATGTTTTAATCCTGCCTCCTCTAATTGCTTGGACCCACCTCCTCTACAATCTGATTGGTTATCTCTCTGAACCAATCATTTTTTCATGTTATTTTTAGCTGCAAAAACCTGTAACTTTCCTCAATTAACTCATGTCTCCACAGCAAATAATTACACCAATGAATTATTCAGTGCCACCAAAATGAAAAGTGCAATCAGCATCCTTTTAATTATGACAGTCAAAATTCTTATTTTGTCAGAATGTCAGTGTAAGTATGCTGCTTAGCTCCACAGCTTTTAATGATAGTCGCTTCCCACTTTCTCATTGTGACAGACTGATCATTTTTCTTTAACAAACTGATACTTATTCATGCCAAAGACACCGGTTTCAACATTGCAAGGCTCTGCATTTCAGTATGTAAAGTTCACTGACAACAGAAAGCACTCACATGCACGTGTAACTTCTTCAGATCTCAAGACGCACTACAATAGCTAACAAAAAAGTCACATGGCTCTGTATAATGCAAAAACAGCAAAATGACAATACGAGAACAACAAAATGTAACGTGGCAACCAAAACACAACAATGCCGTATCACTGCAATTTATGGAATATATTTCTAAATCATTTTCAAAGCTTGGTTAACTGTTTTGCATGGGGTAACTAACACAGAGATCAGAAACGTATATAGTTTTGGGTGTACAATTATTACTAGGGGTGTAACAATACATGGTTTTGTATCAATATATCGATTCAATGTCAAATGATCCGATGCATCGATGTGACCGCATAAATATCGATACATGCTTTTTTATTTTCTGGCCTGTTCCAGTATTGTTTTCATGATCCACTCCGACGTATACATGGTCTACACCAGGGGTGCCCAATACGTCGATCGCGATCTACTGGTCGATCGCAAAGGTAGTGTGGGTAGATCGTATGGCATAAAAAATAGAGGATGGATGATGCGTTTACCCGCGCCAGCTGCTGCAAGCTACCGAGTCGCCTAGTTAGCCTCCAATTTATTTCTACTAAACTTAAGAAAGGGTATAAAAATGAATGGGGGAGCTGGACCAAGTAAGAAGCCTCTAGCACACGAGAGGCTCATACGAGCAGCTCATGACAGTTATGCACATACTTTTTGTTACACTTTTGTATTTATCTGGAGAAGACTTGATTCAAAATAAAAATTATTCACCATGTTAATCTACATCCATCCAAAGTTCTTATTTTTACCTTATTGCACTTTATTTTGCTTGATTTATGGGACATACTTGACTACACTAGTTTTTGTTTACAGTTCCCAATAAAATATGATAAAATGCTAATTATATTTGCCTTTTTTAATCCATTGAAATGTAAAAGATTGTGTGAAATTTCATCATTTCGACTACTATCCCCAGTATCGAACTGAATCGAATCGTATCGTATCGCATCGTATCGTGGGAATTTCTGGGGTATCAAAAAAAATCGAACCATTGGCTTAAGGAATCGATACTGTATCGTATCGTGAGGAAAGCTGTGATTTACACCCCTAATTATTACAGTGGGAAACTACATAGTCTATTTTCTGCTGTGCAGAAGCGACATTATGGTGTATGGATTACACTTGTTGGTTTGCAAATGTTACTTTGTTAGTCATTTGAGAAATGCGGCAAAGCATTCGAGAGAAACTGTAATGCGGAAAGGCTGGTGGTGGGGGGTGCAGGATACAGGGAGGCTCAGAGGCAAAAAGGGGGCGGACTGACCTGCTCAGAGAGGTGCTTTGCGCGCAGGAAAAAGCCCAGCAGGCATCCGACAACAACGGCCAGCACGGACAGGATGAGCAGTCCATTCTGCTTGCAGACGCTCTTCAGCCGAGCCCATGCTACCTCTAGAGCCAAAGCCATCGGGGTTCCCTCTGGCTGAGTGCAGCTTGCAGCCTATTCGCAGATGGGACAGCCTGAATGTCAGTGGCAGGGGCCCATGGGAAGACCCTTTCCTCTCAGAAGCCAGGGGGTCTCACTCTTCAGAATTCGATCCAGGGTTTTTTCAGAGGCACCTATCGGCCTCACTCTCCCTTGCACCTGCTGGCCCTGCTGTCTTCAGGGTTAAAGCGGCTAATCATATTAGGACACCCTACATTAAGTGAATCCAGAACTGGATTAACCATGTCTGAACTGGCTAGTGGATTGTTAGAAGGCAGTGGGGAGAAACAAACAGGCAATCTGATGAGAGGAAAACAGCTTTATGTGACATTAGTTCAACAGGTATAGACCTGATTGTGAGCCATTCTTAAAGAGACGGTAACACAAGCTAACATGATGTTGGGAAGCAAGACTACCCCTAACCCTGGCTCACTTTCTCTCTCTCTCTTTCTATCTATCTATCTATCTATCTATCTATCTATCTATCTATCTATCTATCTATTTATCTATCTATCTATCTATGGGGATGCAAGTTCTGGTTTCTGGCAAGTTCTGCCTGCATTATTAAACACTGATTGTTCTCTAACTAAATACCGAATAGCATTTAAATCTTAAAACTGTGTGATGATCACCAAAGCAGAAGATATAACCTGGCAAGGGTTCACCAATAAAATGTAAATGAAAAGGCATTTATAGCCTTTTATAATAGAAATAAATCAATGATAACCTGGAAGGACCAATCAAAGAAGAACCTTAACTGGTGAATAAAAGCTGAGCCATGAGCAGCGTCTGTGCAGGCCCCAGTGCAGAGGTCTCCAGTGATGGGTGCTGCTAATCCTAATCCCAGGTAACGGGGGGGTGGAGATGCATTTCAGAGTGGACTCACACCTGCTGTCAGTTTCTACATGCTTGTGTGAATGTGTGTGTGTGTGTGTGTGTGTGTGTGTGTGCGTGTGTGTGTGTGTGTGTGTGTGGCGACAGTGCTAACCACTGCACCACAGTGCCGCCCCATAGCATATTTCCATTGTTTATGCGTAAAATTTAATAAGATCCCACAGATGTAAGACACAAGGTTAATCTTACTGTCAGGAAGAGCCCTGATCTTGTCTTGCAGACTTCAGTTTCAGCGGGGAGAGGAAAGGCTAGCGCTTTCTAATTTCAGGATAATACTGAAATAATGTTAACTATTCATATGGGGGTGCATTAAAAATATTAGGAAACTAATACAGTTTTTCTCAGTCACTTAAATTCTCATAAATATTTGTACATTCTCTGCATTGCTGTAGAGCAGGGGAGCCCAATTCCAGTCCTGGAGGGCCAGACAGCTTCTGGACTGCTGTGTTGATTATTAAATTACACTTTCTATTCCTTATTCAGATACTTTCAAACAAAACACAGAGGATTATATTAAAAAGATGTGCTTTTTTGGGGGGGGGGTGTGGGTTATGGCGCACCGGGGAGCCATCAAAACAGGAAAAATGAAGCTTGTCAACCACTTTTTTCTAAGTGTACAAAATGAACATCATATTTTCTCAAATTATACAATAATTATGGCTGCGACTTGTGCATATTCATGCAGTGCAGGAGAGTAGTACAGTTATGGAGGTTTGGAAAACAACGTTCTGCATTCCATAACTTACATCAGTCAAAGCCAGTGGAAATGGGGGGCACTGGCAGGGCAGGGTGGGGGGGGCATGCCTGTGGTGCCGACTGTGTAGACAGCCTCCCCCCATGCTGTCTGTATAACTTAATGTGGATATACTTTTGAACCATATCTCCTCGCATTCTAGTAATGGGCCAATAGTGACATGCTTATACTGTCAAGCATGAGATTTGAACCCACAACCTTCAGGACATGGACAAAGAGTGGCAAAATACAGAAACGGGCCAGCTGCTCTCAGGAGACAAGAAACCCCCATCTTTAGTTTGTTTCTTCTTTTCTGGTACATACAGCTCCATCTGTTCTGGATTTGCAGCGTGTTCCCACTTAAGAAAGCGAAGTTGCTCTATAAAAACCACAAAAAACCATCTCAAGGCAGGCTACTGTCGGAGTGGGAAAAAAAGTGGAAAATGTCCTCCTGGCCCCGACTGGCGACAGAGCAAAGCTCAAGAGCAACTGCCCTTTTTCGAGTTAACGTTACCGATATTAGATATTACCCCCGCAGGTGTATATATATCATATTTAGCCATAATTATTAGTCTTTTGTTTATTGTGATATATAAGAAAAAAATGTTTCCTTTTTACTTCTTAATGTCAATAAGAATTGCCACTCAATTTGTGTCTTGTAGCTGCACAGTTCCACGTCTTCGCATTGCTCGTGAATCCGATATCGTGTCTCGTCTTGTCTCATGGGCTGAGTATATCATTACACCCCTAGTGAGTACTGTAAGCACACTGGGATATTCTGACTTGGTCATATTGATATCGCCTTTCTTTCACACGATCAGAGTTCCTTTCATTGGAGAAATGTTCCAAAGCAGTTGAGAAAAAACTGCGAAGTCTTGAGAATGTTAAGTATCTTTCATGAAATGTGCAAAGCAATCAAGAAAAACTGGGCCTTTTCAACAACCGCAGCATAATGGATATGGAATCGCCTTGATGTTATTGTCCTTTATGATGCCGTTAAGATTTCTTTTTTCCCAAGTGCTTACACACATATCTGGAAACGGTGACTCCACTTAGCAAATGCTTCAACATATAGTGTTTCTGAAAACTATACACACACGTAGAAAATCATCATAAAGCAAAATGCACCAGAGGCATGAAAACTCACAAAATCTGACCTGAGGATTGTTTACTCCTATCAGAATCACTGACATGCTCATTATGAGCATACCCCATATAATATATTGCATGGATAATCCTTGTTCTTCACACTGAATTAATAAATTGAACACACAGCTGTCTGTATGTGTATAATTATCCCTGATGCAAGACGACAAATAGGAATCACACCATACAGTCCACAATCACACACACCACAAAAGTGTAGGTTACAGCGAGCACTAATTAGACACTGTGTTACAAAAACTAAAGCCATAGTATTGCTACAACTTTGAATATGCTGCAGGAAATAAAGGATTCTACATTCAATGCCAAAAAAGAATGGTTACAATTTATTATGTAACATAAATCCAAATATATTTCATTTATACATAATAATGAGACATAAAGTTGAATTGTGAGAGCAAATAGTGTTCACAGTACGATGCAAAGATCAACACCACAAACAAAAAGTGCATTTTGCATATGTGGTCTAGCATAGCATACAAGGTAGACCGTGTACTGGAAAACAGCACAGAGGTAAACAGAAACCTCAGCCATCATCCTGCCTATCATTTGGATTATGCTACATGTTTTCATCTACATCACAATGAATGCTCTCCCTGGCTAATCAGCGTGGGAAGTAACGTCTACAATGACAGATCCATTCTTGACAAGACTCGGGATGATATCGTTACAGGCTGCAGGCCCTGCTCCATGGAGACTCATAATCTCAAATGGGTTCTGCTCATACACCTTTCATCGCCAGCTGGAAGAAAAATTCCTCATTTGGATTAAGAGAGAGAATATGGTGGAAGGAAGATCATTTGAATTTGTGGGTGGGAATGAAACCATTCTTGGAAGACCCCTGAATTGTGAAAAGCAACATCATCCCACATGACAGTAAGCAGTGTTATCTGGAATCCTGTGCTGTTCCTACCCCCACAGAATTCCACAAGGAGTGCTGAGTGGCATGGTGAGGGACCGCCTCTTGTAGACTGATGGCAACATACATTTTTGTCCCTGCAAACCTGCAAAGAATAATGAAGCCTCATGTCTCAGAGTCTTATTTTTGCAGTTTATATCTTTGACGTAGAAAAGAGAAAAACAAGAAATTGTTATACATTATTATTATAGGAACTTTTTTTTTTTTTTTTGCTCAATCTTGCTAGTGTTATTATTCAGAACAGCTCATGATCATGACGCAGTGCATTTTGCATCAATTTAGACCATTTTTTAAAAGATAATCCACAGTACACCCTCATCTTTCGACTATAAATACCCACTAATCACAGGACATGCAGCTTGTGGTGCTCCAGGTGACAGGGGAAGCAGCCTGGCCTCATGTTCAGCTCATTCAGGCACCCTGCTCTGACCCTCAGCTCCTGCTGTAGGCACGTCCCAGAGACAGACACAGCTATGTGATCGTCTGTCCATCTTATACCTCTATAACTGTATCAGGGTTAGGGGGGGTCTTAGGCATCACAGGGCACAAGGCTGGGGAACACCCTGAATGGGATGAAGGGCAGACACACAATCAAACAGTATGGTCTGTCTTTGGCTCTTTAACAGTGTCTTAGGTAATGAAATGAATGATGAAGCGTTGAAGGAGAGTCTGAAAATTAGAGTGAAGTTCACATGTGTGTGTTTGCATGTTCATTTATTGCTGGTGTTACTGTGGTGGTGAATATTTACCCAGATCAAATCTGCCAAGTTCTTCCAAAGGAAGGGCATCATGGGAACACCTGTCTGGTATTTAGCCAGAAATGGTTGAAATGCTTGTGATAGGGCCATGAAAAAATGTAGTTTGGCCAGAAGAAGGGGATCCATGTGGGCTTCACAAATGCAGTCAAAAGAAGGGTTTGTCACCTTTTCTGACTTCACCAAGTCCACATATTTCACGATAGAGGGCCAGACTTCCAATGCTCATTCGACAGCTGGCAAATTTTCGAGCTACCGATGGCCACAGAAAGGTACTGTAGAGGGAATCTTCAGGATGATGTTGCAGCTGTGAAGTCGTCTCTTCTGGCTGGTGCAGAGTGGAAAAGAAAATGTAGTGCTTTGAGCACTTTCTCCACCATTCACACTTCAAAACCAGTCTTGAATGAGTTGTGAAGGGTATATAGGCCACAACTTCCTACAATTACTAACTGTGTCCCAGCAAATTGCTCACCTCAGTGTGAATGTCATCATTGGACGTATAGGAGTGATGTTGGCT